ATTACAGTGTCCACACAGCAGTGCCATCACGTTATCCTGACAATTTCTGCCTTGGCCTTAGTCTTGAACTATTTTGTGTCCTTTATGCGAATGTGTCTTCAGTGTTTTCTAAGTGTTCGTTTCGTCTCTCGATAACCATTTTACAACCACTGTACTTGTTTTGTATCCTCTTCTTAAATATATCCGAAATTGGCACGATTCGAAAGACCATTCAAATATATAGTGAGAGTTAGAAGACAATGGAAAATAAGCTAATCGACGCAGAAACATATAGCAACATACAGATACAGGTTCATGATGAATTAAATACCGTGCAGTAACGGAAAATTTCCCCGTAATGTTCGTTTGATTTCTTTACTTAGACGAAAAGGTTTATCTAACCAGTCTGTGGTAGCTGTGTCTTTCCGTGTCTATATGAACTTATTTAATGGAATAAAGGAACACTATGTAAATAAAAATCAAAGAATGTATGCACAAAAATATAAAGTATTTCAGAACATATATTACGATGAAAGGATCATCATCAATGTAAACTTAAATTTTACCAGTCCGAGATAAACTCTGGGTTACTGGTGAGGTCTAATGTATTTGCAAGTAAGCTGAATCCCTCACCTATAACTTGGCTTAGCGGCACAAACCTAAGAGGCATGAACTCCTTCCCGTATTCCAGTTTTTACCATTCTTCTCTATATATTTTCTAAACTTTGGTATTGGACTCATCCTTCATTTTCTTTTTTTTTTTTTTTTTTTTTTCTTTTTTTTTTTTTTTTTTACTTTTGTCTTACCAATTTGGCACCCCTGATGTTTAATCACGTCCTGGAAAAAAATATCGAACAAATAAGGAATTCAGAGCTATTGTATCTGTCACTGTTCTGTTTTACTTGATGCAATATCTGTGTCAGGTAACAACCCTCACATACTTCCAACAAAGACAGACAGGAAACATTCCTCTTTATATTTGACTTCTGCAATGGAGCTGGCCTTTCCGAACTTTTCACAGACATTTTGCACTTTGACTGCCATTCAGTCTACAGGCATGGTTATTTTATTGTCTCAGACACTACCTCTTTAATGAAATTTTCATCATCCTGACAGTAATGTATCAATTCTACTATCTGAAATATTCGGTTTATGATATCGATCTTCGACATTTAGTGCCAAACCTCATATATTTGTATTACAGTTCTCATTTACTTATTTCACCCTCCTTTCGGAAAATACTTCGACATTATACATAAGACCGAAATAGTTCGCATATTTTACGCTATTCAATTACAATTTAATTTCCTTCATCTGCCATCGTCTGTCCACAATTCAGCATTCAACACTTACACTTCCCACAGTGACAAGAGCCTTCGGGTTGTCACTACTCAGAAATGCATCTTGTTGTGACCTTGTGAAGATTTTTTTCTAGTTAGATGCGATGAACCACTTGTATGTTTTGACCGCTATTTTCACTAAGAATTTAGATAATTTTTATTTAGATTGTACTGTCACATAGAACAGCAGTTGCATCATCACCTAGCGAGTAGTATAAACACATGTTAAATATCTGCAAGCTAAATCTGCATTTCTTAAATCTCACTAAGTTAATTTAAATTAGTGAATAAAGGTGTTTGTATATATTGATATCATTAGTCATCATAGCTAGGAAAATTTAAGTAAATAAAAAACTTTGCCATTACTCCAGTGTCAACTTTTAACAGAACTGAATAAAGCACCTTGCTCAAAATATTCGTGTGTGGACTGGAACTATTCAAACCCAAAAAGGCAACTCTTTTGTAATGGGTATGGAAAGGATTGCCTTCTAGTAGTTTGATTCTGAGTCACAATATATATTTTCACATAATATGGATGAAAGAGAAAAAAATCCTAACCATTACTAAAGTGTTGCTACGTTATATTCAGAAAGGACTTGTTAAGCTTTAGCTTTTGGTTATGAAAGGTTGGCACCTCAGCACAAGCCACAGGTGCAGAGCAGCAAGACATAACCAGCCTGTTCTATGGTACCAAGAGCTCCAAAGCCTGGCTAAGACTCAGGCCCCTCGGCGCCTGCAGAAGGCCCCTGGGATATCGGCGCCACCAAGCCACAGACACTTCACGCTGAGCTCGTGTCCATCTTATCTCAGAATCCCAGTCTGTGTCAGTGGTGCTGAGCTGGAGTTGTTAGGCCCTGGATCAGGGTTCTCGTAAGCCTGAGTGTGGCACCCTCACTACTCACAGACATACTCATCTTCACTCACTGACCTCATTTTGCAATTCACTGGTAGGCATTTGTCAATATTTAGTTCGTTTACAAAGAAGTCTGAGTTTGTCTTACAATCATGTTACATTTGTCGAATTTACGTAAATTTCATCTCTCTTTTGATTTTATTTCTAATTTGAGTTAAGTAGTAGTGATGATGCTGATTATAAATATTCATAAGTAAATGTTTAGAATATTTAAGAATATTTGATAGTGATGATATCGATAAGTAATTTTATTAGAATAATGGTATCAATGATGATATCTGATATTACGTCAGTCCATACAATAGCCAGGCAACGGTGATAATGATACATAATTATTATATATGTTAAAATAATAATATCGATAATTATAGAACTGAAAAACATACCATAATAATGATAAACATGATAATACTTTTAGTATTATTTCTACTACTAATAATAATAATGATAAAATGATACTGATAATTAAAGTATACATGATAATCGTAGGAGCTCTGAAAATACTTAATTTAACTTTGACCTGAAAACTATTTTCAACTTCATCAATAAGTCATCAGTTCCGTATTCATAATGCTCGAACTCGCCTTCACCACTGCCCACAAACAAAAATACAATCACAACAAAAAAAATATTTAATTTCACTGTCTGGAAAAAAAAAATTTCATTGGCAGGCTGATGTGTCAAGGTCACTGTTTCATCCCTAAAGAAACATAGAAGAACATAGTTATCTCGTAATGTAAGTGTAGATGTGAGTCGTGTCTTGTAACTAGATGTTAAGGACTGCAGGGCTTCCATGTGAAGTTTGTGCTGATCTGATGTTCTTTGTCCCTCTGGCTGCTGCATAACAACAACCTTACAACAACACCATACCTATTACATTAAATGACACTACAAACTATGGACGACTGCATCTGAAACCGTCCTTAACCATGCACTTGCAATTGTACTCCATATATACATATAAATTAAAACAAACACATAAATAAACACACACAGTCCATGATGGTGCACACGAGCGAGACTGTGCGCCTCAAGTTCTTCATCGACCTCCTGATGCACAAGCGCCACCCCGTCATGCTGGTGGGCACCTCCGGCTGCGGCAAGTCGGCGCTGCTCAACGAGAAGCTCAACTCTCTGCCGGAGGAGTACGCCGTGTGCAACGTCCCCTTCAACTTCTACACCACTTCAGGTAAGAACCTGTTGTCGTCAATACCACCTCAGTTATAAGAAATATAACTTAAATAATCACATAGAGTGTATTGTAAATCTTTTCTTTTGGGGCATTTTAGTATTCCGATCGATAATGTCTCCTTTGATTTCAAAGAAGCAGACCTAAAGTAAAGCTGCTTCAAGTTGATAATACTGTTATATAATTCAACAATGTTGCAGTTTCTCTGAAACCTATCGCGAGAGAAATAAGTTTTGTACACCAATATGCTGAGTTTGTTGAAGTGTTACAATTTCAAGGAAAAAATCGATAGAAAAAAATATATTACTTTAGATTATATTTCTTAAGCTAAAAAAAATGCATCTCCACAGAGCTGCTGCAGCGCGTGCTGGAGAGACCTCTGGAGAAGAAGGCCGGGAAGAACTACGCTCCTCCGGGGAACAAGAAACTCGTCTACTTCATCGACGACATCAACATGCCCATGGTAGGCGAGGGTTTCCGGACCGATGCTTACGTCCCGAACCCTTCTGATATTTCTAATAGCACTTTCACCGATCAATTGCTATCAGTTCAGCTCTCTCAGCTCCTTCCTGTGCTCATCCGAGTTCCTCCCTTCCCGCCCGCCAGGTCGACCAGTACGGCACGGTGCAGCCCCACACGCTCATCCGGCAGCACATGGACTACGGCCACTGGTACGACCGCACCAAGCACACGCTCAAGGACATCCACAACGTGCAGTACGTGGCCGCCATGAATCCCACAGCAGGATCCTTCACCATTAATCCTAGGCTTCAACGCCACTTCAGTGTCTTTGCAGTCAGGTACTACCTATAAAGGTCAAAGATGGCTAAGCCGCATATAAGTAAGGCCTGGCCAAAGCTAGTCTTCGCAAATCTCACTGAACTGAACTGAAGGTCAACGAAACAAATTAGTTGTGTAATACTTTTAAAAGTAAGAAGAAACACTTTATCTTTTATTATATAACACACGTGTTTTTTTTTTTTTTTCTCGCATAACAAATCTGGTTCTAACTAAAAGATTTAAGTATTTATATTAAACTTATACATGTGTATTTTAAAGTCTCGATGCGTTTTTCGGCATACTCTCTGGCGATGCAAAAATATCTTTCGTATCCACCTTTTATATCGATATGCTTACTTTTGTAACTTCTTCATCAGTTTCCCGAGCATGGAGAGCCTCAACCTGATATACTCCTCGCTACTGGACCAACACTTGAAGAGTACTGCTATGAAGTTCAACCCAACACTAATTAGGGTAAGACAGATTTACGGTTGTTACAATAAAGACAGAGAATGAGGAAAGCATGATGGAGGGGGGCCGAAAATTAGCTAGAGAAAGTGAGAATGGAGGAAGAAGAGGGAGAGAGAGAAGGGGAGGGGAAGGGAGAGAGATAGAGAGAGAGAACGGGAAAGGTAGAGGGGGAAGAGGAAGAGAGAGGAAGAGAAAGAGAGAGAGAGAGAGACGGAAACGCAAACAAACAGAGAATATGAGATTGCTACTATTGAAGAAAGTAGGTTAGTATTATAAAATTAGGAAGAATGCCCCTAATGGAAGATTCATTGCACGCTAGATGACAGAG